TGTCGAAACATGTCGTGAAGTAACAGGTGAAATTGAGTGCACTACAAGACAGCAACTGTATACATATCATGGATTAAATGACGGAAGAGCTTAATTCGAAGCCTCCAGTACACTGAGATTTCTTCACTTAAAAAATAATGAGAATCTGGCAAACAGATTAAGTCAAAGTATAACAGACTGTAGCATCTCAGAAGATTTATCAAACATTTAAACATATCTATTTCATACTGTAACATCTATTAGAAAATCTGGTCAGAAATAAGGGGAACTGTGAAATTTAAGAGAAGATTGGGTTTCAGCAGTCCACCCAAAAAATATTTTGGAATAAAACTGTACAAGTAACAAGACAGCAAGAGAGTACATATCATGTGACCGTTTATCTAGGGAAGCAACAAATGAATGCTGCTGCAGATATCACCCCTACATATGGTAGAGTGCTCCAGCTAATACAAACCGTAGAGGGTGTCAAAACAAGATGTTCATGGACAACTGCTGTTTGTCACCTCAACAATCTGCAGGCATACATAAGAGGGGAAACAAACAGCTGTGGAACTATTTGTAATAAAAAGGGCATGTCAAAAATCTTAGGCCAAAGAACTGTAAATTACATGCAAGGTGAAAGAAGGCACCAGTGCTATTTGCTGGAAAGATAAGAGGGAAGTAGAAATTTCCACCAGCCTCCAGCATCAGGAAATGGAAGTGCACTAAAATGTTATGCATTGAAAGTTACCATAAGAACATGGAGTGACATGACGTCACACAGTTACAGTACTTCATGGAAATGGATAAGAAGCTGTTCTCCCACTTAGCCACCCTAACTAACCTTAAAGCCATTACAATTCATGGCTCATGTGGAAGCATACTTGCCCAGAAAGAGTTTTGAAAATGACTCATAGAAGGTCTGAAACATCTTGCAAAGGATATAAAAAATCCTTTGACACTGAAGTTGTGATCATGAGTCACTGCAAGCAGGCTGTCTCTATCACCTTGATTTCAAATACCAAAATCACTGGCATACAAATTCACTATTGCTAAGACTGTTATACAGGGGCACATGGTAGTATGATTGGTTGAGGCACCATGCTAAAAGCCAGAAGGTCACGGTTTCTTCGATTCCCGATGAGGTCACTGGATTATTCAATTGACCTAATCAGTCCAGCCATACTATGGCCCTGGGTTTAACTCAGCCTCTAACAGAAATGAGTACCAGGAATCTTCCTGGGGGTAAAGGCCTCCCAGTCCGTAGGGTTGACAACCTCACCGCCATCTGTGAGCTGACTCTCTAGAAACTGTGGGAGCCTCAATATCTCTCAACACTATGGGCATCCACAGCCTGTTACAGGGATAGATATACATTATTTTTAAGACTGTTATATATGAGGCACACAGTAGTGTAGTTGGTTGAGGAACTGTGCCATAAGCCGGAAGGTCGCGGGATTGAATCCAGATGAGGTGGATTCTTTCAATTTACCTAATCCTTCCAGATGCACTATGGCCCTGGGGTTGACTCAGCCTCTAACAGAATTGAGTACCAGGAATATTGTTGGGAGTAAAGGGCGGCAGGCACATACGGCTGACAACCTTACAGCCATCTATGAGCCGAATGTCTAGAAAATGTGGCAACCTCAACATCTCACAACCCTATGGGCCTCCACGACCTGTTACTTACTTTTGCTTTTCATATGAATCTCCATTTCAAATTGTATCACACTGTATCACTCTAACTGTATCATTCAAAATCTCTTAACAAAGTTTACATGGCTTTGCTTTGTGCTTTCTGATGTATATAATAAACACTTTTAGTGGACAAATTTATGTCACTCTAGAAGGCATATTTGTGCCTTTGATAGTTGTTATCTTCTCTTGAAAGTCCAACTTTCAACTGAGCACTTAATTCTCAACTGACTGGATTGCCAAAATTCTCTTCTTTATAACAAGTTTTCAAGGACCACATCAAAAACACCATTCTTTTATTGTTGCATGCATATGCGTTTCCACGGAAATGTGTTTACTGAGTCCTTCCTCAGAAACAGTCAGTTGTTTATTTACGCACTGCATAGCAACAGCTGTACTTGTTTGTTTTGAGGTCTTGCCTAGCAATGGGTTTATATGCCACAATACTCTCCCAGCATTTGCCTTGAGAGTCTGAGGAAAATCAAGAGAAACCCCAGGACAGTTGGTGCCCTGGCTAGCAGTCAAACCAGGCACCTCCTGAACACAAGCCTGTTTGAATGAGCATATTCAAAGGAATTTAAATTTATGTCACAAATTTAAACTCCCCCTTAACACAGTTGCACCATTTTACGGTTTAAGGAAACTAAGTCTTTCTGCCTGAGCCTGCAGCTCTCTCCCTTTTCATTTCAAGATAACTGGGAGCATCTGCCACAAATTTATATCAATTAAAATACTCTTTTGTTAACAATAAAATGTTTAAAGTCATTCTGAACCAACACACTTTTCACAATTCAAAGTAATTTCTTTGCAAGTGCTCAGTGACATAATCATCATAATGGTACTCACTAGGTGGCAGGCCAAACGTTTTCCTTCTACTGGAGTAGAGGAACAGCCTATCAGTTTGCCCAGTACTGACTTCACCATCTCACGCAACATTTTGTAATAGTAACCTTGCTTCAGGTTATGGTGTGGGGAGCATAATGATTTTAATATTGTTCAAGATAAATGAATGAGAATTTTGTTTAATAAATAAACTGTACACAGTAGCAGTAGCCTACAAGCTTCCTGGACTGTTATCTTTGTAACTGCCTCAGTGAAAGAAAATGAGAGGGGAAGCCAAGGTCATACTTCTGCAAGCCTATTGCATCAGTTTGCCACATGACACTGAGCTGTGAACATGTGTTTACATGAGTGCTTCCGTGACTTTGTGTTTCATTTTGTCTGCAATGGATGGCAAAATTGAGCAAAGTATCTGCATCAAGTTATGTGTGAAGCTTGGTAAATCTGCTACCAAAACCCTTGAATGCTTCATGAGGCTTTCGGAGAACATTCTTTAAGCCGGACAGAGATTTTGTCACGTTTCAAGGCTGGATGAGTGACAGTTGAAGATGACCAACATTCAGGGTGACAAAACACCAGCAAAACGATAGAAAATGTGAAAAAAAATCAAGAATTCACCCATGAAGACCGTCCCCGAACAATCCATAAACTCACATACACCACTGGGATCAGTTATGAGTTTGGCAGATCTGAACAGAAAATGTGAACGTGCGCCGCACTACCGCAAAGTTTGTGCCCTGACTCTTGACAAATGATCAAAAGCAGCGGTTCATAAACATTTGTCTTGCGCTATGAGAGAAGACTAACAAGGACCCAACTTTTATCTCTAGGATCATAATGAGTGACAGAAGTTGGATTTATGGTTATGATCCAGAAACAAAACAATCGTCACAGTGGAAGAGCCCACAATCACTAAGAGCAAAAAAGGTGCGGCAGGTCCAGAGTTCAACAAAGAGCATGTTCATTGTTTTTTTGACTTGAAGGCAATTATTCACAGTGAATCTGTTTCTCCTAACAGTATGGTCACCTCTGACTTTTACGGTGACATTTTGAGATGCTTGAGAGAAAATGTGCAACAAAAAAGACTGGAACTTTGGCGCAACCACAACTGGCTCCTTCAGTTCATCCTGGTCCGTCACACTGGATGCTATGCCACAAGCTGGAAGGTCATGGGTTCGATTCCCAAGGGAGTCACTGGATTTTCCAATTGACCTAATTGTTCCAGCTGCACTATGGCCCTGAGGCTGACTCAGTCTCTAACAGAAATGACAACCAGGAATCTTTCTGGGGGTAAAGGGCACACAGCACATAAGGCTGACAACCTCATGGCCATCTGTGAGCTGACTGTCTAGAAAAATGTGGGAACCTCGATGTCTCACAAACATATGGGCCTCCACGGCCTGTTACAGGGATAGCGTTATGTATTATTTCACACTATCAGTACAGAAGTTATAACTGCACCTCCACCATTCTGAGAGTCAAATGGAACCATGGGCAATAGTAGACACAATTATGTTTGAGTTTCTATGTAAACTTGATCAGAAACTACTGACAAGAAACAGTTTCTATTATTTAACCTGCAAGCATGAGGGCGATCCACCTGATGACACACAATGTGATTCCCTAAGTCAGACTTCCGCTCAAAGCTATCTCCACAGATGCTGCAGATATGCTGGCGAAATGGTGCTGCAGTTGCTTCCGGTGCTGGCGCTGGTGGAGGAGGTGGCTGTAGTGGAGATGGAGCAGATACACTCTCGAACATACCACCAAGTTGTCGCAGAGCTTCCACTGCCATGCTTTAAAAAACGAAAACATGGTGGTCTACTTGCAGACTTAGTCAACATTTTATATAGGTGAAAGAATTAGTTCCCTCAGTTATCAAATGCATATAGAATCAGTGATATTAGGCAGACAGAAATACATACAGCTGAGCCAAGAGTACCTGATTCAAGTTCTTCTGAGGTTGAAACTGCTATTGCAAAGTTGAAAAAGTATAAATCCCCATGTAGTGATCAAATTCCAGCACAAATGATTCAAGCAGGAGGTGAAACATTACAGTCTGAGAACCATAAATTCATTAATTCTATCTGGAGTAAGGAAGAATTGCCTAATCAATGGAAGTAGTCCATTTTTTTTTCCTTGGTACTATAGCCCCAGTGGGCCTAGGCCTACCTCCATGAACTTCTCCGTTCACTTCAGTCTTTCTAGATCTTACACATTCGGTAGGACTCCTTGGGTGGGTGATCAGCTCATCGCAAGGCCTCTACCTGTACACAAACACAGAAAAACGCACACACACAAACTAAACATCCATGCCGAGTGGGATTCGAACTCACGATCCCGGTTTCCAAGCGAGCGAAGACAGTACATGCCTTAGACCGCTTGGCTACCGTGACCGACGGAAGTAGTCCATTACTGTACCAAGGGTAATAAAACTGCTTGTTGTAGTAATTATAGAGAAATATCACTGTTATCAACTTCATGCAAAATTTTATTTAATATCCTCCTCTTAAGGTCAAGTCCATACATAGATGAACATACTGGGGATAATCAGTATAGGTTTGACATAACAGATTAACTACTGATCAGATACTTTGCAATCCTCGGATACTGGAGAAAAACTGGAGTACAGTGAGTCAGTATATCAGCTATTCATAGACTACAAGAAAGTCTAAGATTCAGTTACGAGGGAAGTATTGTACAATATTTTCATAGAGTCTGGGGTACCCATGAAACTAGTTAGGTGATTACAATGTGTTTAAATGAAACCTATACTAATGTCTGTATAGGTAAACAATTGTCTGATAGGTTTCCTGTCTGAAATAGTATAAAACAAGGAGATGTTTTATCACCATTGTTTTTCAATTATGCTTTAGAATATGTCATTATGAAGGTCCAGGAAAACTAAATGGAACTTAAATTAAATGGGACACATCAGCTGCTGGTCTATGCTGATGACATAAGTCTATTGGGAGGTAACATACAAACCATAAAGAAAAACATAGATATTCTAACTGAGGCTGGTAAGTAGGTTGATGTAGGCATAAATGTATTTGAAAATTATGTATATATTGATGTCTCATCAACAGAATCCAGGGTGAGATCATAACAAAAAGACAGCTAACAGATCATTTGAAAATGTGGTGCACTTCAAATATGTATTTAGGAATGACAGTAACAAATCAAAATCTAATTCATGAGGAAATTAAGGGCAGATTGAATTCAGGTCATGCTTGCTACCATTCATTCCAGAACCATCTGTCTTCTCAACTGCTGCCTAAAAACATAAAAATTAGAATCTACAAAACTATAATTTTGCCTGTGGTTCTGTATGGGTGTGAAACTTGGTCTCTGACATTAAGGGAGGAACACAGACAGAGGGTGTTTGAGAACAGGGTGCTTAGAAGAATATTTGGATCAAAGAGAGATGAAGTCACGGGAGGTTGGAGAAAACTACATAATGAGGAGCTTCATAACTTGTACTCTTCACGAAGTATAAGTATGAGAATTACGTAGAATGATGAGATGTGCAGGACATGTAGCACAAGTGGGGGAGAATTTTGGTGGGAATGTGAGAAGGTAAGAGACCACTATGAAGGCCTAGACATAGGTGGGAAGATAATATTAAAATGATCTTAGATAGGATGGGGTGGTATGGACTAGAGTGATCTGGTTCAGGATAGGGACCAGTGCAGGACCCTTGCAAAAATGATAATGAAACTTTGGGTACTATAAAATGTTGGGAAATTCTTGAGTGGCTGAGAAACTGATGGGTTCTCAAGAATTCAGCTCCATGAAGTTGGTTAGTCATTACTTTAAAATGGGAATTTGGCACCTACAGTAGGTCTTATAACTGTTGCTAAATCATAAAAGCGATGTATGTTTTGAGGTTCTCACAGCAGTGGTTATGAAGAGTTCTACATTCTGTGATATAACACCACATAGCTCATCAATAATCAACTTCCTTTCAGAGGGAAATGTCACCTCCATTATCAGGATCGAAAAACAGGCCAGTATGACGCAGGTAGCTTTGCTTGGTACCTACTTCATGGAGGTGAAATGTTCCTCCAGAGCATCAGCTGACTTTCAACAGATTACATTGTGTTATATCCCAGTTAACAGAACACTCCATAATAAATGACATTCCTTTCTGCACTGTTTTACATTGCCACTGCTTTGCACTGTGTTGTTTGTCACACCATGCTGTACTCAGGGCAATAGCTTAAAATATCTTATTTAATTAATTTCACTCATTCACTCACTCATGGAGCTCAGCCCTTCTTGAGAAGCTGCCAATTGTGCAACTACTCAAAAACTCCCCAAAATTTTATGGAACCCAAAGGTTCAATACCATGTTCACAAGAACCCTCCACTGGTACCTATCCTCAACAAGATCAATCCAATCCATACCATACCATACCATCCTATCTCTCTAATATCCATTTTAATATTTTCCACCCACCTATGTCTTGGTCTGCATTTGGTCTCTTTCCTTCTGGCTTTCCCACCAATATCCTATATGCATTCCTCTTCTCCCTTATTTGTGCTACATTGCCTGCTATCTCATTCTCCTTGACTCGCTCATTCTAATTATACTTGGAGAAGAGTACAAATTATGAAGCTCCTCATTAATTAAGTTCACCAAAATAAATAAATAAATAAATACATCTGTGGGTATTACTATTTATCAGTCAACAAACCTCTAACAGAAATGAGTAACAGGAATCTTACTGGGGGTAAATGGTGGCTGGCGTGTAAGGCTAATATGCTCACCATCATCTGTGAGCTGATTGTCTAGAAAATGTGGGATCCTTGACAACTCACAACCCTATGAGCCTCCTTGGTCTGTTCCAGGGACAGCTTTACCTTTTTTACTTTTATATTGCCACATACTAGAGTGTGATTAGAGACGGGGTTTGAACTGATGACTCAGATTTATTGGAGACTTTGATACACTTTGATTCCAACCTCAGCACTAGAAAAAGTGAATGTTCAGATCAGGAGTTGATATGTCCCATAATTCAATCTCTCCTGGTTTTCTTTCACCCTCTTAGTGGCATGCTCTAAAGCAGTGGTTCTCAACCTATGAATCATGACCCAAAACCCGGTTGCCGGAAACACAGAGATGGGTTGGGAACATATGAGGATTGCCAGAATCACTTTATATTTTGCATCAAAAACAAACCTTAATAAGATTACTTACCGGACACTGCCACCCGAAAGGACACCTCTACAAGTTGGGACTGAAAGATAACCCAACTTGTGAAAGGTGCCTACAAGAAAATGAATCAGCTGCACACATCCTGTGTGATTGTGAGGCCATAGCCTATTTAAGATTTTGTCACTTGGGTCAGTTTTTAACCAAGTGACTTTTCTGATGCCCCCATAAGCGGGGTCCTACACTTTATTAAAAGTGTAGGATTAAAAAAGGGCTAATCCAAGGAGAAGCACGACAGATCATTGAAGGTCACAGTGTGGGGACCAGTTCTTATGGCCCACCCCTTACATACACACATAACCTTAATATAAGTGATAAATATGAGGGCATATGGAAAATAAACTAATATCCAGATTTCAGTGCATATGAAGTCTTTCTCTTGCAATTACATTTAGTGGTATAGTTGGATCAGATGTCTTTTTCTGTGCTGTTGTATATGAAGGTGTTGTAAATGGAAACTTTGATAATAGGGTACTAAGGGTAATTATCATATGGAATAATTATTATTAAGAAAGAACATGTAAGAGTGTAGTAATAATTGGATGAGACTGTACAAACAGGATATTGTAACTCAAGACTTTGACCAATGCTATTTGTTGAAGCCACAAAATTTATCTCCCTTTGACTTTAGAAATCGAGGGAAACTATTGACTTACGAACTCTCAAACTTTCCATTGTTGACCCTGAACAGGATGCATTGGTAAAGGCCCGAGACGTGTGGGTAAAACACCCAAACAGATAAAGCATAACAAACAAGTAGAGCGATATGGAAATCTTCCTTTAGGCAATTCCCCCAAATATGATTGTATAAATACTGTGTCCCAAAACAACCAAAGTTACTCTTCATTCTGATTCGATATGTGGAGTCTGTGCTGGACAAAACTCTGTCATTCAGGAGAAAGTTGGCCTTGTGTGAACAGCCCTAGGCATTACCTGCTTGGCACAGTTGAACTTCACTTATTGTGTTTAATAAACTACCTTGTATTAAGTTTTACTTTGCAGCCGTTCTCATTTCACCAGCTACGGATTTCCCATTCTCCGCTCGACAGAATCCGTCCGAATCCATCCACTTGTTCCCCAAGTATACAGATTCAACAGTGCAATATTTGTGAACTGCATTTAACATTATCATGCAACAATCCAGCTTCTTTCATGCTTTTATTAACAGTACAAAAGTTGGTCTTCACAGCTGCAATCAGACTATACTGTTTCTTTATTTCAGCCCCATATATTGTTTCAATTGGTCTGGATTTCCCTTCTTTATCCCTAAGCAAGAAACAATTCAGGAATTATTGTTACAGCCCTCGTACTATTTTTAGCACTACACTCTTGCATATTCTGCTTCATATCTTCATGTACATTGCAGAGTTAAACTTCCAGTTCATTCCATGGGATTATAATTTCCAAGCATATGTCTGTTTTGCAACAGTGACATTTGTTGGCATTTAATATTTTCACTGACAGAATGCCTCAGTATTGTACAGGTTAGGTTACTTCACTGTGTGGTCTTGTCTAAATTTATCGTTGTTATGTGTTGTGTGAAGTGCAACCTTCCTACACATCTTTTTTATGAATGTGTATGGAAACACGGTTTATTTTATTTTTTGCACTGAGTTGTGAGTTAAATGCACTATGAAAATTGGGTCCTGGTGCTAAAAAGGTTCAGAATCACTGCTCTAAAGCAATGCTGATAAAATATCCCCTTGTTTCAGACCAATGTGAATAGGGAATGCTACTAAAACACGTTTACCTATATGGACATAACCACTGTCTTCATTTAAACACACTTAAATTGGCCTAAGTAGCTTCTCAAGTATATATCATACAATGAGAATATTACACAATACTTTCCTTCTAACTGAATCACAGACTTTCTTGAAGCCTATAAACAGCTGCTGTATTCCAGTTGTAGTTCTACTTTTCTCCAGAACATGACAAATTTAGAATTTTTTATCAGTAACTGATGTATTGTGTCAAAAGTCACAGTGATGATCCACTATAGATTTATTTATATATGGAGTTAACCCTAAAAGCAAATGTTGAATAAATTTTTGTATGTAGTTGATAACGGACATTCCTCAATAATTATTACCGTCAGGTTTATCATCTTTTTTATAAACAGATACAGAAACAGATCCTTTCTACTGCTGAAGCAACAATTTAAAACAGACTTCATGAGTCTGCAAACCTCAGACTGTAATGTTTCACCTAATAATGAAACCATATAAAACTCTTTTGGTATAAAATCTCTGTTGAAAAACAATGGTCAGCACATGAGATGGTTAAACATTACTGAGAAAAAAATTAGGAATCAAACTTTACAATACAACTAAAATTGTTCTGCAACACATTTCGACTGTGACATTGAACCTGCAAAGGAAATAATCACAAAACCATGTGTACAATGTGAACATGCTGGTTCATGACCTAAATCATGTTAGATTAAAAACTTACAGTAACAAAAGATTTGTATGACTATAAATATCTGTGACTGAAGAATAGGCTTTATGCATTCTGTACTTAACTGCTTGCTAAAATTTCTTCCCAAATGTGGAAAAAACAGTACATTGAAAGTGCAACTTCAATGGCCTAAACAAAGTTCTGTTGACTTTAACCTAATCTAACCACACAGAGGTACTCTTGTATAGAAGTTCCACCCCTAAGCATGCTGGAGTTGGGAGCCCATCTGTGTTCCCAACCTCAACCAGTACATACCTTTCATCCTCTGTGGTTCCTTTGGGGTCAGTACTTTCATTTTTAATTGCAACGCCTACATACTTTCTTTTCATCTGTTGCTTGGCCACACATTCTTGTTCATCTTCCCCTTCACTATGTATTTCCAATTTACACTCAAACTGAATGTCAACTTCACCATTTTGATAGTCATCATTAAAATTTAGTCTAGTTTGAATATTATCTTCTTCTCTGCTGTCACTGATTTTTTCCAACTCAACATTCATTTTCCATACAGTTATGACACAAGAACAAGTGTACTTCACGTACTATAAGAAACGCAGAGAATAACATTTTCCATAATGGACTAACCTACCAGTAACACTAAGAAAATGTACTGATTTTATTATTCCCTCTGCACTTGAAAGATTTAGCATAGAAGTACTAATATTAAGAGTAAAAAGAAAATCGAATGTGTATACTTGAATAAATGATTACGACCCAAACGACAATTAAATCGTCGACCCAACCTAACAGACGGTTCAACATTCTATCGGCCAATAGAATGTGCGCATTAGATTCCACGACACATGTAATCGATCATCCGGGAATGTTGGTATTTGTTACAATGAAACTACCGTATTCCCTCCTATTGCATCTTTTTCTTTTTATTGGGCATGAATGTACCGTACAATTTATGAAAAACCCACATTGTATACTTTTACTTCCATCAAAACGTCAAATATCTTATAAAGTAACTAACTTGCGATAATAATCGTGATTATTTTCAACAATTAACATTCAGCATTTGCATGTTCTCTCTTCAAGGGAATATTACATCCTAAATATCAATAAAACGTAATTCTAACACCTGCACACTCTACTAACCACAAATATTTACAGCAATAGCCAATCCAAACTATGTTACCATCATCATGACGATGAAAGGGTTTTAGATACATAACATCGTTGTGAGGGGTATTTCTGTAGAATATATAGCATTACATTCATTTCAGGCTTTACTACCATAACAGGCTTCACGTTCTCACTATACGTGAATATATTAGCCGACAGCGCCCAAAGTCTCTTGACGCTCTTGACGCTCTTGACCCTCTTGGCAAAGTGAAGCTGGACACAACGCTTTACGGTACCAACGTTTCAGAATAGACATGCTGCCTTCTTCTCAAGTTGGATTCTTCTATTCTGAAGGTGGAGGCATCAACTACCTCCGAAACCTTGACACCTATCTACGAAACTACACGGCGTCACATCCTAGTCAACCGTAAACTTCTGATTACCATCATATTCAGAGTATTATCATTGTTTGATCAATGTTGGTATCAGTTCCAATCTGTGGTTGGTCCTGGTAATTTAAATGTTACAATCGGGTGAGAGGTTGAATGTGTTCGAATGTGGCCAAATTTGGGAATTTGATCAAGTCTATAAAATTTGTTGTGAAGTAAAAGTTACCTTACACATTTTACTGACGTAAAATTGATGTGTCCTGTATGTTCTACTGCAAAAGGGGCGATGTTTATAAAAGCGACAGTACGTTACTAAATAAGGTTAAATTTGTTCAATTGAACTTAATTGGTGGTCCGTATTGAAGTGAAGGAACATCGCACACCCCGCACATTACCATATTAGTGATGCGAGAGGGTACATAAGAGACCTTTTTGTGGTCAGGGTCGTTCACTATCTCAGTATATATTCGGAAGCGTTCGGAAGTGACAACGCAGTAGTTGTGATATAGGTGCTACGTGACTGGGGAACCTGGGGAAGATAGCATCACGGCTATTTTAATATTACGTGTGTATTGATTCCGCTCTGAAGCACACCGGGTATCGCCTGGTATACACTAAAAGGTCTGCTGACCTCAGGAGATGGCGCAGATTACCAGGAGCTGGCTGTCATCACTGAAGAGAATCAGTCAACAAAACGGTAAGCATTCGCAATAAAATTGCAGTGCGCATTGTTGCTCTAATGGGGTTGCTAACACAGTTTTAGTTCACGACATCCTCGAAATATTGGATTCTGGCAATTTTGAGCCAGGTTTAGCTGGAATTTGAAGGACTGATAAAAGCTAACATTTATAATATACATAAGCATTAGAGTAAACGAGAAACAGTGGACTGATTAGTAATAGGTCATTCAGCAATATGAAGTTTTTATAGGCACCCCTTATATCCTTTGTCTTATTGTAAGTCAAGATCTTTAATTGAGTATCATTCATTCATTCATCTGTAATCTGTCAAGACGACAGGTCCACAGTCTCTTCCAAAACAGTTCCTCCACTTGATGTGATCTAGAGCTTTCTCCTTCAAATGAAAATATCCTCTTCTGTCCCCAAGGTCATCCAGCATCTTCTTAAGTCTTCTTCCTCGTCTTCTGGTCAGTTCTATCCACACCTCTACCTTTCCTTCAGTCACTTCTTTTAGAAGGCAGTTACCGTGTAAGATATGACCAATCCAATTAGCCTTCTGTTTTCTTATTTCATGTAGGATATTCCTCTGCTCACTGACTCTAAATAACACTTCTTCATTTCTCACATAATCGGTCCAACTGATCTTCTCCATCCTTCTCCAACACCACATTTCGAAGCTTTCCAGGTGTTTGTGATCTACTGCCCTAAGTGTCCAACTTTCAGCCCCATACAAAGCGATGCTCCAAATGTAGCATTTCACTAGTTTCTTTCTCAAATTTAAGTCCAGTTTGCTGGTAAAAAGATTCTTCTTCTTGCTAAATGCAGCTTTTGCCATGGCAATCCTGGATTTAATTTCACACGTACACCTTCCATCATCTGTTAACAGTAAAATGATATTCATTCATAAAATTCTTCATACTACTCCAATAAGACCTCCTATAGTACGCATGGATACTGTCACAATTTAGGGGTAACTGTAGATGGGGTTTGGATTGGTGACTGGATGTATTGACCACTTCTGCACACAACGCAGAACTACAAGCAGTTACAGCATCACTGCTAATCTCCACAATTCACAAATAACCACAGCACCCGCTAAGCTTTTTCCAGCCTGCTGTATCTTCACCAGCCATTCCTTGCCAGTGGCTTCTAACTGGAGACTCTTCAGCTTCACATGGCCATGTCATCTCTTCACAGCCTCCCATCCAGAACTCCCTAATAACTGACTTTGTCCCTCACTTATAACATATTAGCGCGGACCATGTAGAAACACCCCGTTTTCAACAGTAACTCTATTGTTGCACCCGTATTTCTTGCCGCAGTAACATGTTTACTATGTCATTGCCTAACAGTGGCCATCTCTTCTTGTTCTGCTATTCTGGCTTTCAGCCATCATGTCACAGAATGCTCATATGTATACATCCATTGCCACCAAGTGGGTTGATGTAGCCGTAGTGCTCCAGGCTGGTATTTGGAAGGTCCTCGATTTGAATTGCGGTCAGGATATCTGCTATATTCTCTGAGATTTTTGTGGCTTTCCCCAGTTCCTCCAGGCAAATGCCAAGATAACACCTCAAGTTGTGAGCAGTACCACATCCTTTCTAGACCATAATTTTCAGTCACCCTCTCATACAGCACTATATACTTGTATTTTTGGTACAGACAGTGTTTAAGGTAACCCCCATACCTACACGCAGGCACACCCACACACATGTGTACGTACGTCCATGTGTACGTACATACCAGTGTACTTCCACCTTCCTTTAATTGCAAACCTTCAACTTGGGGTTGGGGTACAGTAGTTGCTGCTGCTCCAACCTGCTTAATATAGAGCACTGACCTGATTTCTTGTTCTGCAGGATCTGTCCAGAAGACATGTGCATTGAGAGCATCATCTGCCTTCATAGCAGGGGAGCCTGAAGGTCCAACTGTGAAGACGGATGTCCCAGGACCAAAATCAAAACAGCTTCTGAATGAGCTGAGTGTCATTCAGGTAATCTCTGACAGCAACATCACATGTTATAACGGTCTTTCTTCAATGACTTGGTTGTGGCCACGAAATGAGAGGCACTTTATAATTGAACTACTTTCAGAGTCTTGTCTGATGTCAGTGATGCACCTATTACTCACACGTACTGACTCGGGTAACACTGTTGAGGTTTGATCACCCCATCTTCCTGGATTCTTCAGCAACAGATGATAGGACTAGGGACAGGAGTTATTCATAGGCTCCAGTAAACAAGATGGAGATGACATTCCAACTCAGAGCTTAATGAGCCTTGCTTTGACAAGATGGTAGGACTCAATCACTTTGATTACACATCACAGTTACAAAGAAATGCACTGATATATTTCTCATGGCGGCACGAGTTTGACTTTAATATCATATTTCAACAATGATTGCGCTGGTTGCTGCTGCATTACACTGTTTGTATAGGCTGACCTAATAAATTAACCTTTATGAGCCGAAGGACACCGTATGGGGACCTTTAAAGTAAAGCTGAGTGGCCGAAAGACACCGTATCGGTATGCACAGTCCACGTGTGCGCACAGTGTTTTAAAATCTAATTTTAAGATAGAAATTCTTGTTCTACTTACATTATTTTTGGACACCAGCTTTATAAGTAGACTGTCTTCCCTCCTGCATCATCTAACTGAATGTTGCATGTCACTGAATGCAGAGTCCGACGTCGCAATTCATGCACTTTCTCCGTAATTAACTCTGTTTTCCACGCGAAGCGCACACACGCAATGTTAGTCTCGTATTAGCAGGAAGTAAGCCAGTGATGGCGAGTGGTGTGTTCTATTCATAACGCTTATAAAACATAGGATAAGAACTCGCCCACACTCGTGTATACAAGAAGCCCACTGACTGGAGAATGTGCAATGAAAACAAACATTCTCTCTCCTCCAGATAACACATAGTCAGACCGTGAGTCAGAAGCATGCGTTTATGCTGCAGGAAGGTTTTGTGCAGAAGCTTTATGCATTTTTGTAGACAGACGCTCAAAAT